GTGTTGTAAATACAACTTAACCACTGATTTCTAGTCATGTCCATTTTTGGAAGGACAAACAAAGTAGTTTCGCTTTCGCAACGAAACACAGCATCACACACGGTGGCCTAGAGTGAGCGGCGGCCTAGATGAGCAGAGGCCGGGGGCTAGAGTGAGCAGAGGCGGCGGGCTTGAAAACAGCGCGGCCGGCGGATTCGATAAAGGAGCGTCCGGAGGGCTTGCGGCAACCACATGTGACGACCCCGGGCTGGACTCCGCTTCGTCCACGGTGAAAGCCGATCTGGCGATCCAGGAAAAATTTTAATCGCATCATATGACCCCTTTAAGAATGTGCTAGCTAATTTTGCTTGTCAACTTTTTAAACTTGTTAACTAGATTAAATCTTTTATTTAAATTTTTATAGTATTTAATGGTCTTTGACTTTTAATATTCTTGGTAGATTCTGTAATAATGCGTTTAAATTACAAAACAATAAATGCCATCATTTTCTATCTAAAATGTACATGAATTTATTGTTGTCTTGGAGTTACTGTATGATTATAATAACTGTCTATACAATGTTGTTTATAAATTTGCGGTCAGATTTTTTTTTTTTTTTTTGAAGGAAGTTAATACTTTTATTCAGCAAGAATGCATTAAATGATCCAAAGTGACAAATATGTTTATAAAGTTAAGATTTCAGTTTCACATAAATGATGTTCTTATGAAGTTCTTCAACTTTTGAACCATAACTGCTCATCAAAATACCCTGTAAAAAAAAAAAAAATTTCAATTGTAATAATATTTCTCAATATTACTCTTTTTACGTTGGATCACATAAATGCAGCCTTGGTGAGCACAAGAGACTTCTTTCAGAAAGATTAAAAATCTTACTGCAAACGTTGAAATAGAAGTGCATGTAGATATTTTTGTACTTAATTCAATAAAAAATTTAAAAATTGAATTTCTAATTTATACAGGTAAATATTAAATTATAAATTTAGTATTTATTTATTTATTTTAATAAAATTGATTTTGTTTTGTGTTAGGGCCAGCATGGGAAGTCTGAACTACTGGCATAAAAAAAATCCTTGCTGTTGAACCCTGGTTAAACCTGCTAAAGAGGCTAATAACTGATGAATGTGGTTGTTTGTGCTGTAACTAACTGACTTCACTTGATATCAGCTGCTTTGGTGTGCACGTAATATATTCTGTCCTTTCAAGACCACTTCTTTGCTTTCTTTGTGCACGTCTCTGCTTTATCATAATACACAGCTGCAGGTGTGGGTAAAGGCGTTTAAAGTAACAATATAGAGACAAAGCTCTTAACGGAAATGGGTTGCATAAAATATGCACCTTCAGTGTTTGTTTTTCTCACACATATTGAAGGTCGCAATCACTTGTCTTTCCTGTTCCCAGCAGAGAAGGCAGGGTCAGCGCAGGGGGGTGGGCCATCTCGGCTGAGTGGCAGCAGCAGTTCTTCAGATTCGGGCATCGATACAACATACATAATACAGGGTCTATTATTAGTCTATTACTGTATTATTAAGATTTCATATTTAATATAAAACAATGCATATAAATAAGTTTGTTACCATTTTGAGTGAAAAAAAAAGTCATTCACATTACAAAATTGTAGAGGTTCATATATATATATATATATATATATATATTACGCCTGGTATCACCAGAGGAAGAAAAAAAAGACACAAAAAAAGTTTTTTTTTTTGTTTTTTTGAAAATCTGTCAGTTGTGGAGGTGAAACGGTTCTGTGTCCGTTGTTTTTTTCTTTTTCTTTCTTTCTTCTTTAGGTTGCTGCTCGTTAGATCCATACTGAAAACATGCATTAGTGTAAAAACTGACAAATGCCTGGCTGCATTTTTACTGATCGAGTAGCTACACAAAGTCTCAAAATCTGAAGGAACAATGAATTATCAGCTCTCTCACTCTTGTGTGGTTCTGTCATGTTGGCATGACTTTTCAACTCATTCCACATTTATTTTGCTGACTATGATCATACTCTTCATTGCTACCATTTTTAAGAGAATCTATTTATTTTTTTTAATCCAAAAAGGCACAAAATTGTGTGTTTTCAACAGAAATGTTTCCAGTTGACCAGTTTAAATGTAAGAAATTCAACTCAGCATAACTCACTAGTACTCTAGACTGCATCAGGAAACGGTCAGTATCATTATTAAACCGTTTTCAGAGGCTTCGCAATCATTTTTGGCTATTTCAACTGTAAATTTTCTTTTCCGATGCGGTCTCAGTATTTAATGTAGAATTATGTCGGAATTTTTTTTGTTTGTTCGTTTTTAATCTATATCATACGCTCATTCGTTTGTTTGTTTTTTATTCGGACTCGTCTTTATTTTATTTTTTTACTATTAATATGTAGGTGCCCTAGCCCTAACTCTCTAATTTCCTACGTTCTATCTGATATGCCTCATCTTTACTAAGTCCACTCATAGGACAATCAAAGTTGTGATTTAAATTCAGTATGTATGAAATGGGGGTATCAAAAATAATGGTAAAATACATTCAGATGTTAGAAACACCCACAAGGCTGCAGATTGGATTGAATCAGCCTCAATGAAATTCTTCCATGGGGAAAACCAAGTGAAGACTAGCTCTCTTGCACAAATAGCCACTTAAAGGAGATTTCGGTTAAGAGAAAGATGAAATTGAGTATTTCTCTTTGAGAAGATTTCAAGCAGCAGTGCTAGATTTATTTTCAGAAGGATATGTGTTTGACAATAGTTATTTTTAGTTGAAAGTATTACAACTAATGTATGTTCTCAATTTTAATAACTTTATTTTCCTTTAGTGTTTCTCAAATGGTGTATTGAATGCTTTCAATGGTACCTAGACACCTCTTGCCATGTATCCAGAATAGTTTGGAAATGGACCATGACTGATAATCTTTATAAAAAAAAATATGAATGTATTAGAGGTTATTTTTTCTTTCTTCTTGTGGCTGCAGTAATGCCACTCATTTGTGGCATTGGCAAGGTTTTATTTCATTTAACAGCCTTGAATTGAACTCTGAACCCCTCAAAATCATTGGATGTGATATTGTTGCCTTACGTTTAGTTGGCACACTAAAATAAAGTAAAATGGGTCCGGTATAACTGATCAAGTTGAAGCCAATGTGTATAGAAATTTTTTTTTTTAAATCATGAAAATACATCAAAAATTGTGATGTTAAGTGACTTCATTGGTTTTCTTATATGTAGGATGCTTTTAATTATGCTTTGATTTAATTCATTATACCACTGTATTTCATTACATGCTCCTTGTGACTATAACTTACCTTGTCTCTAAGATAATTTTTGTTACAGCTCCTGTTCCTCAATTCCTCCAGCAGAGTCCAGTAAATACAACTGAGCTTCATGATGCAGACAGAGATATAAAGATACATAGGATATATAATTACAGATATAAATGTATATTCACTACTTATTCGTCAACTCTGTCTTGGGGTCTAAGTATTTTAGTTCTTTTTTATGCGAGAAAGAGAGAGAACATTTGTGTATTGCATGCCAATTTACAGTATATTTCTTAAAACTTTTTGAGCAGTTTATAACATGTAAATGTCATTCTTTCGAGTACAATTTTAAAATCGGTAGCACTGCATATGTTAAGTTCAGCAAGTTAAAGCAAGTTGACAAGTATGTTTTGGCACAGACTTACATGATAATATCTGATGTATAAGCTAATCTGAGATTTGGACACTGAGCCCCTCGTTTTTCGTAAATAAATCACAAAAACCCATAGGAGTGTCTTTTTACTATGTAGATATATTTATTTGAGTGCACTTGATGTATCTATTTTTATTTCTTTTGTATTTTTAGGATGAAAAATACTTTCTTGAGCAGTGTAATGTCAAAATGTGCCAGCTTAAGTCATTTAAATCTCGATTTAACAAACATTTTTACATTTTTTTTGGAGGCACCAAAGCTCCATAAAAGGAAATGTGAAAAATCGATACAACATACATAATACAGGGTCTATTATTAGTCTATTACTGTATTATTAAGATTTCATATTTAATATAAAACAATGCATATAAATAAGTTTGTTACCATTTTGAGTGAAAAAAAAAGTCATTCACATTACAAAATTGTAGAGGTTCATATATATATATATATATATATATATATAACTATAAATCACTGGGCAACTCGTGTAATGCATAATGCAGTGTCAGATAGATTGATAGATACTTTCATTATCTTTTTCCACGGAAAAACACTGCAACCAGTGATAAACATGTTCACTAACTTGAATAAAGTAGTTTGTTCATTTGGGATATCCAGTCAAATAAAATACGTGCTCACTTTGAATCTGCGTTCAAATTAGGATTTTCAGTTGGTTAAACTGAGTTTTAACGTTACTCATTAGTAACTATAATAAACAGGTGATGTTCCTCCATCCACACTGCTGTGGCACTGTATACATGTTCAAAATACTGTATGATGCATTGTTCATGAATCTCAGTGTAAGCATGAGCACCCGACTGTCTGAAATAATGACATGTGGATTGTGGACAGATCACAGTTCTGTTGATGGTCGGTAACAATCAAATGTGTGTGAAGCGAATGATCAGTCACGAGAAGAATACCACGATCACATAACAGCACAAATCCGGGATTGTCCAGTGCTATAGGAGTCTTTCAGTCTTGTTTTGTCCCGTACCACAACTGACTGGTTGCCATACTGGCTGTACCACGAGCTCTGACTGCGGTTCAGGTAACTACTGCTCCAGCTGCTAAACCAGCAGCGCGTAGCACTCCGACATCGCCTTCTCGGCTAAACGACAGCGCTCCGTCAATCCTCTCTGCATTTTGTTGGCTGGCGAGGTTTCATGCAGTTGAAAATGAGCTGATAGTAGTTTAATTATATGAACAAGATAGTTTTATGAGAACCTGCTCTTCTGTAGTATTCACATTTGATCAACAGTTCACGGTTTCGTGTAGTAATTCGAGGGGAAAACAGCGGCTAGTTAAACTCAGACGCCAGCGGCTGCCTGTGGCAACAACGTCCGCCTGAATGCGCGTCCGACTGCAAACCTGAAACGTTTAATGGTTCCGAGTGCAAGCTCATGTGCATAGAGAGTACAGCCGTGGCCAAAAGTTTTGAGCATGACAAATATTGACTTTCACAAAGTCTGCTGCTACAGTGTTTTTAGATCTTTTTTGTCAGATGTTACTATGGTATACTGAAGTATAATTACAAGAATTGCATAAGTGTCTAAGGCTTTTATTGACAATCACAATAAGTTTATGCAAAGACTCGGTATTTGCAATGTTGACCCTTCTTTTTCCAAGACCTCTGCAAGTCGCCCTGGCATGCTGTCAATCAACTTCTGGGCCACATCCTGACTGATGGCAGCGCATTCTTGCACAATCAGTGCTTGGAGTTTGTCAGAATTTGTGGGGTTTTGTTTGTCCACCCGCCTCTTGAGGATTGACCACAAGTTCTCAATGGGATTAAGGTCTGGGGAGTTTCCTGGCCATGGACACCAAATGTAGATGTTTTGTTCCCCGAGGCACTTAGTTATCACTTTTGCCTTTTGGCAAGGTGCTCCATCATGCTGGAAAAGGCATTGTTCATCACCAAACTGTTCTTGGACGGTTGGGAGAAGTTGCTCTAGGAGGATGTTTTTGTACCATTCTTTATTCATGGCTGTGTTCTTACGCAAAATTGTGAGTAGAGCCCACACCCTTGTCTGAGAAGCAACCCCACACATGAATGGTCTCAGGATGCTTTACTGTTGGCATGACACAGGACTGATGGTAGCGCTCACCTTTTCTTCTCCATACAAGCTTTATTCCGGATGCCCCAAACAATCAGAAAGGGGATTCATCAGAGAAAATGACTTTACCCCAGTCCTCAGCAGTCCAATCCCTCTACCTTTTGGAGAATTTCAGTCTGTCCCTGATGTTTTTCCTGGAGAGAAGTGGGTTCTTTGCTGCCCTTCTTGACACCAGGCTGTCCTCCAAAAGTCTTGGCCTCACTGTGCGTGCAGATGCATTCGCACCTGCCTGCTGCCATTCCTGAGCAAGCTCTGCACTGTTGGTGCCCCGATCCCGCAGCTGAATCAGCTTTAGGAGACGGTCCTGGCGCTTGCTGGACTTTCTTGGGTGCCCTGAAGCCCTATTCACAGCAATTGAACCTCTTCCCTTTAAGTTCTTGATGATCCGATAAATGATTGATTTAGTTGCAATCTTACTAGCAGCATTATCCTTGCCTGTGAATCCGTTTTTGTGCAAAGCAATGACTGCTCGTGTTTCCTTGCAGGTAACCATAGTTGATAGAAGAAGATCAATTATTTCAAGCACCACCTTCCTTTTAAAGCTTCCAGTCTGTTATTCTAACTCAATCAGCATGACAGAGTGATCTCTAGCCTTGTCCTCATCAACACTCTTACCGGTGTTAATGAAAGAATCACTGACATGATGTCAGCTGGTGCTTTTGTGGCAAGGCTGAAATTCAGTGGAAATGTTTTTGGGATTAAGTTAATTTTCTTGGTGAAGAGGGACAAAAACCGAGGCAGTAGACTTTGTGAAAATTAATATTTGTCATTCTCAAAATTTTGGCCTCGGCTGTACAACAAAGTTTGATATTATAACCAAACATTTAACATTAAACTGAGCGTTTAACAAATCAGGTTCCCAGTACTCCAAATGATGAATTATTGAATTGCATTATCTGGAAACAAAGTGCAGAATCATTTAATCAGACATTAGAAATAAGTTTTTATTTCAAAGCAGTGAGCAAGCTGAAAAACAATTGATAATAATATTAATCCAAGTCTTCATCATCTGACATAAA